AGTTGAGATTTAGAGGGTAACGAAGGATCTCGACACGAGCCCCGATCAATAAACGTAACGTGTCGCGCGTAAATCCTATATCTGATAAATACAATAAATATTAGAATAGAACAACGCAATAATAAATATATTTATATTTTGTATATATATGTGTATATATATTATATATAATATAGGAAGAAACATGTCGACACAACTAGCTCTAAACACCGAGAGGATCTCATTTTCCGCTTCTCCTCGCTTCCATCCGTCGCCTTATCGTTCACGTATGTATTATTTACAGCCGCGCCTCACAGTCGAGCTTCTATATCTTACATACAAAAGAAAAGAGTTAATGAACGAACGGTGAATCTCACCTGTTCATCAACTATACGCGGATCGCTGGAATGCTCGTTATCGAAAGAAGCGTCAAAAGCTGCGTCTACACTATTACATCAGAACAATGTTATATAACAAATTGTTATATAATTTCGGTATACAACATTTTTTTTGTAATTTGTTACAAGATTACACCTTTTGGACAAGTCTGTAACAATTTTGCATATCATTTTGCATCTTATTATTAACCCTCGTACAACGAATGCAGGGTCATTTTGGCCCATCTGTAGCTATTGCAACATTCTTTGCAGTTACATTTAACTGTAATATACGAACTTGAAGAGACACATAAAATTTTATGCATAATTCATTCTCGAAACCTGCGTACAATGGAAATTCTAGTAAGGGACAAAATGACTCTGCATTCGTCCGTCGTGTCCGTTCCAGATCATCCGCCTTCCGAGGGTTAACAATGGCGTCACACCTGATGGATAACATAACTTGCTATACAACGCGAATAATGTTACGTAACATCGTGTTAGCATTTTTCTTTCTGTTTTTCTAACAACTTTTATAACTTTGCTGTATAACGTGTTCTGTTATACACTGTAGACGCAGCTTAACACGAAACACGCGGTTTAACTAGAAAAGAAGATTCTCTCTTTCTTTATCAAAAACGTTCACGTTTCGACGCTCCCCCGTTTTACATGTCCCTCTCTATCTCTCTAGTTTCGCTGGACCAAGCACGGTATTTAATCACGCAATCGCTTCACAAACACGCGCAGAACAGGCACACGTTCGTTCGTTCGTTCGCTCATTCGCACGGAACAGTATATTGCACGCCGATCGATTCGCTTGCAGACGGATCGGTTCGACTCGCTGTCGAGCAATATCGCAACAGAAAAGAAACGCGCTCGAGTAGGTCGTCTCGATCGGCTTTGATCCCCCCTTTATTCCTTTCCCCTTTCTTGTTTCTTTTCTTCTCTTTTAATTATCAGAGTTTGGACAGCGCATTCGACGGATTAAGGCTTAATGATATGACTCGCCGTTGTACTCTGTTCCTCCTTCGAACGTTATTTTCTCGTCCCACATACTGTGCACGCTTTCGCTATTTTTTAACCCTTTCGGTAAGGGATGACATTTTGGATGGACAGCCAATCCACTGTGACAATGTTATATATCTTATTTTCTGCTTATGGTGCCTATAAATTAATTTTAGCGTGAAATGCGTAATTATTAGACTGCGGACTTTATGCATTTATGGCGTACTCGATGGTCTGAAATTTAGTGTATTAAGACGTTCAGTACATTCTAGTGTGGTTTTCATTTTATATGGGGCTTGAACAAATTTTCAGCGCAGTGCAGGAATTTTTCGTTTGTTTTTAGTCTCTGTAAATAAATTTTTAAAGATTTATATTTCCATAAAGATACGCTGTCTAGTAATTATGAATAGCTTTTTGTAGTGTTTTAGTGTTGCATTTTGAGCCCCTCAGAAATCAAACTGAACAACTCTATTTTTTTTTAATTTCAGAATCTCGATATGTATCTCGCAATACTGAACTTGGCTTTGTAATATTATTTTGTTCGGATATCCCAAGGCAAATTAACACGTTCACTGCCACAGTGAAAAATGCCGTACGTAGCCAGACACGCATAATTCTATTTTTCAAGTCATAAATCGTCGGAAATGTATGCATTTTGTAACGGTATTTAAATAACCAAGTAATTATGCAAAATGTTGTAACGGTATTTAAATAACCAAGCTTCATTCGCAATGTAAGTGTCGCCCATATTTGGATAACGTGGGCAATGAAAGTGTTAAAAACGTCGTCTCTAATATCATCGTTCCTTTCCACCCTTTATTTAATAAAATCAATCTGTTAAACTACTGCAAGGCTCAATTGAATTTTGGATGGTGTTAAATTTCCCTACAGTATCCATAAGACCATTTATCCTTATCCAACGTTCTATCCTTCCCGTTCAGTGGCGGCACAATTCCGTCCAACGCCTGCATAGCGAAAGCGTGAATTTTCACCTATCACTCAGAGTTCTATGATCCTGGATCTATGTGGTGTCTACGGGACGATGCACCTGCGCTAAACGTCATCTTCCCTTTTCCAAGGACGATCGAAATTTAATTCCTGGGACTAGATACCTCTCGTCGAAAGAAACCAATGGACGCGTGTTTGCACCGGAAGCGACTGAACGTACACACGGTGCATCGATTCTTGTGCTACCCATTTTAAAACCGGTACCCTCGAAACATTGGACTCGTGACTGGCGCGCAACGTCTAGCATTTGGGAACCGTGCAATTGCAGGTTGTGCTTCGATTGGACACACGTGTAAGAACAACTAGTCAGGTGCTAACCTATACGACTTTTTCGGTTCTGATCCGTCACGACACATCAATCGTTCGCTGGACGTTGCAACGCAAAAATCGAGAGAAACGGACCTAATAGCTCTCCCTTCTGTGACCACCTCGACGGACGTATGGACATTCGCTGGACATTCCCACCCGTACGAGTTTCGCTGTCTTTTTTTCTTTTTTTATTATACTATTAATAAATCACTTTGTAATCTATCATATTTCTATTTGCTCGATCCCTGGTGCACGGCGGAGTAAGATTTCAACAAGAACACTCAACAATTATAAATCTACCCTTGGGTGGCCCTCGGGGTCACGCTCGAAGACTGTCCGTTTCCCTCGATTGTTCGTGCATCGAAATAACTACTTGGACGCGAGAGACGCTAGTTTAAGTTGTAGTTTGTACTACGTGGAAGACGGATGTCCGTGAGAGTATTCGAGTAGGATCGAAGGACAGATCGATCAGGGGGAATGCTGGGTTCGGGTGGATTATTCGGGTCGATTAGCGTCAGAAACGAATTCGTTCTTCCATTGTTTGGACCAAGCATGTTCAACTGGGGCTGTCGCGAGTGAGAATGTTCTTCGTGGCTAGTGGACAACGCCAAGATTAACAGCTGTACAATATGGCGGAGGAAGTAATCCCGAGTAAGTAAGGTTTGTTGAGCTGGTCTGATCCTCAGGATACGTTCACAGATTATCCCGCATTGAGCCTATTGCTCTTGGAAACGTGACTTGCGTGCTCTTGGTCGCTATTTCGTCGACTAAGGGTTGGTTTAATAACAACCATAAGCTTTATCTCATCCTTTATACAATGCTATCAGTTACTTCACCCTTTGGGTGCGACACGTTCTAATACAGAACCATCCAATGTTTACAATGCAATATTCACGTGTCAGTTGCTGAGACGTATTGTTAAAATTAGAAATGTAATACTTTATTCCGCAATATTGGATAATAAAATTCAATTTTGATGATAGAATGCAGTTGACACTTAATAAAAGCAATAAAATGAGATTAGTTTGGAGAAACTATTAATAAATTATTTCGAACGATGTTCTGTATATGTACGTTTTTTATACACATTGTAGAAAAGTTCATGTCACAATTTTCATACATAATTCTATGCTTTTAGATCGATGCAGATGTGTTTAAAAAATGTACCCTGAAATCTAAGGTCAAGATCAATTTTACGGTACATTTCTTTAACAGATCTCTGTCTATCCAAAAGCATAGGACTATCGGTGAAAACTGTAACACAAAATATTTTACACTTTATTGGTATGAACGTTCATACTAAATTACATAAAAAAAATCAATTAAATTCTGAATAGTAATACTTAACATTTCGTGAATATAGTGTGTAGAATAATAATGATGAAAATAACCAATGTTCCAACTAACTCGTATGTATAATTTGATATATTCTTAATAGCAAACCTTAAACAACTGTATTTTATCACAATACTGTCTCAATATTAAAATTTTAAATACTCGACGTCTTAATGAAGATATCGTACACGTCTTCATCAACTAAAGGGTTAAGCAGCCTTAATTCTAATCTAATTCCCGTTGTCTCTATACTTACGTTAACGAGTTACAAAATCCTCGATCGTACTTTTATTATTTATTATTAAAACAACTTGATACGAGCAACGAGTTGAACACACCTGGCCCAGACCAACCACCTTGTCTCACTAGTATGTCAGTCTTACGAACGCTACGACCACAAACGAATTACCTCTCCTTCCCGCTCCAAACTCGATCGTCAAAGAAGATCGTCTCAACGTATCACGTAACAGAATCCCATTGTTCCCGAAGAAAGTCGAAAGAACAGTACCTTGCCTCGACGATCCTAAGCGTCTAAATCGTCTACACCTAAACCACGGTAAAAAAAAAAAAACAAAAATTGTGCGTCGTCGATTGTGCGATCTCTCCATCAATGCGCACCTAAACGAAAAACCAAATCGATTTCCCTTGAACACCGTCTACGCGTTCCATCGCGGTCCGTTCCGGAATCTCGTCGTGGACGAACTATGTACACCGCGCGTCAGCGAGGAGGATCCATATTAGACGATCGAAAACGAACGTCTTGGACCTTGGTCACTTAATCATCTAGGTACCATCCTCGCGGAATGTATATGAAAAAACAAACTACCAACATGGACGATGACGTTCAACGCGTCACACTCTTGACAGAATCAATTTCCAATTAACCTAGAGTAACGAACACAGGACGACACTCGCCATCGTGTTCTCCGAAAGGTAGCTAAAACTCCGCTTGGACAGCAGGCGTGACGCGTTGAAACACGGACTCGGGTTGTGTGTGCGTGTGTTTGTCTCCTGTTCGAGGAGAGTGATAATTAGTAGGTAATCGGCCAACGTTTCTCGGGTGGAGACGAACCTTTCCCCCAATCGATTACATGAAGTAAATGGGATCGTTCTCCACAATGGCGTCCAGCTTGGCCGGCAGGGTTCTCGGTCTCTGTGGAGCCGCGGTGTTGTTGCACACGGCTTCGCAGTACCCCTTGCGTCACATGTAGGTAGGCTTCACTTTGTACGCCCGTTTCCATACCTCGCAGAGGCACACGGTACTGTGGAACCTGTAGAATATCGCCAACGGCATCGAGACGTGGGTGATGATCGTCCAGGCCCAAAGACCGTAGAAGTGCAACTGAACGGGATGCGACTCCGCTCTGGATTTCTCGAGCGTGTTGATCGCCCACATCGCTAGATTCGTCACCAACAGAAACGTGACGATCTCACGACCGGGTTTCCGTCTGGTTTGTTTCGCGGTAGCGACCGATCGTCTCGAGGCATCTAGAATGAAGATCGTCTGGAAGGTGGTCTGCACAACGCTCGCCAACGCTGTGACCAACACCAGGACCGTATGCTTGGCCAATGTGAACTGGGCACCGATGATCGTGAACGTCGAGTATATGAACATTCCTGTCTGCGCCGCGACCAGCAGTATGTTGTCCAGCTCCAGGTTCCTGGTGCCGTCGTAGCGGAGCTTCCGCATCTGGAACATCCCTATCAGCGTGGCCATCGTCGACATCCCGTACAGGGTCAGCTCGCAGACGTTCACCTCGGTCACAGCGAAGCTGACCAGTTCCGGACGGGATATCAGAACGAAGAACAGGATCAGCGAGATGATGGTCAGCACCAGGATCAGGATGCCCACGAATAGACCCTTGTGGGCACGGGCACAGTCCACGCTGTAGTGGTGAGGCGACCTTCTAGTGAAATAATAATAATATTAAAATTTTAATATGTGGCTGGAGTGACTGGTGTTATTATTGGAGTTGCTAGAAGACCTGGAACTTATACAGGGGTAACCGAGCTGAAGCAGGCCACCGAAATGTCTTCTTCCTTTTTAGCGATATTGGAAATGTCTGAAGCATAATTTGAACGGTTTCGAGGCAGGAATACGTAGGGGAGAGTTGCTTATATAGCTTTATAAAGAAATATATTTACAGATTTTCCGTTGGGTATATTGATTTAAGGAGGGGAGATAAAATATGCGAGAACAGTGAAACAGGTAATTAATTTTTTTGTCGTTTCACGTCGTCGAGATATAGAAATACGTGGTGGTCATTATTTTCCGTGCTTTCATGTGAATTTCATTTTACACCTTGTAATTACCGTAATTTTAAATAATACTGGTATGAAGTGTACTGTTCTAGCTACAATTTCATACTCATACTTTCTCATTTTCGTTTAAATATAACAATGAAAATATATTTTTCTGGTGCAACCTACAAATTGCCTACATTGGACTGGTGTATTCTAGGATACAATCTATATCCTATATAAAAATAGTTCAAGAATAGTTCAAAGTACACTAAATAGGTTTTCTTCTGTTAAATTTTTGTTTTCGTTCAGATTCAAAATGGCGACAACACGAAAATATGTTTCTACTTTCTTCAATGCCCTGAACAGTTTTTTGTAAATTGTAGATTTAATTTTATTGGTTTTTAGGAACGGTCTAATGTAGGAAACCGGTGGTCCAAATTAGGAAACCAGTTGCTTGGAATGGACCGAAGTCATTAGTTTAGTATTTTTAAGATATTACTCTTATCACCGATTTTTTCAAAACGACCAATACACCATACAATCTACGTATAATGCTTGTCATTTTTCCGTTTCACTTTGCATCCTGCGATGTTCTATGCGTGTGTAAGAGAGAAAAATAAAAAAGTGGTCCTAAATAGTCAACTCTTCCCTATAGACTAATCAGTAATTTTGATCGTTTCAGTAATTCTAGTTTACGATCTCACTGTATAGTTTCCAGAGCCTATTAACGATTGTGACCTAAACTTAATTTTTTTTCGATTACCTGTAAGCGTGCGCGTGGTGCCTGGATCCCAATGGTGTCTTCGGTTGTGAGAACGCTGCTTTCGATATGTTCTTCCACATCACGTACAGTATCGCCGCGCAGATTAAACTGTACTCGATCGTACAGGGGAAGAGAAACGGGCTCGCGTCCTGAACTAACGAGCCCATTATGTTTGTTCTTCTACACTCGAACATGTGATGAGGACCCTTCAGGCCTCGCGGGAGCCTCAGGTGTTCCCCGTGGTGGTAGTGACTTTGCCCTCCGAGATGGAGATTACCCTTCGAACCTAATTTCATTTCAGTTTCAATTTCCGCGACGATGCTTTCGTTCGAGGATTCATTATGCACAGTAGGATGGATGACGTTCGAAGCACTTTCGGCTGTGTTATGACCGAATAAAAAGTACTAGGTTCTTATAATTTATAATTGGTGGAATATATAATCTTAATTCATTCCAGTAATTGGAAAGATTAGGGGCTTCTGTAAACTTGTGCTAGGGTGAGCAAGTATTGTTAATTCATTGGTTGCATATGAAACCGTTGATGGGAGACAGTGTTAACGTTTATAGAAATTTCAGCTATAATGAGAATTGTTAATGTAAGTATTTTAGGCCAAGAAAATATAGTCGATTCTTAGTTTCCATAAAAGTGAAGTAAAGAAAGTACAATTGAGGTTTAGTTATAGTTTTTCAATCATTAAAATGATTAAAAATAGAATATTCATCCATCGGAACTTCCTCATTTGGAACACTAGTTTCATTTTCACTAATTGTAAGCCAATATCAGGTTATATGGGTGTTACAATTCGTACCTAATCTGTGAGAGATTCTTAACGAGTTGTTCTCCGGGTTGTAAAACGTCAGTATCTCGTGTTTCGTTTCCTGGACGAGGACGTTCAGCCAGACAGACAGATTCGTGCCAATCATGTGCATCAGCCCGAAGCGCGCAACCACCCGATGGCGATAAACTTTCATTTGCTGTCAAAGAAAACACAGATTAATGTTGTTTACAATACACTTTCTACAGTTCGATAAATTCACATACAGAGGATGTTTTGAAAAAGGTCAATTATTATACTTCACTGACACCTAACAAGGCCATAAATAATAACAATAATAATGCGTCATTTTTTCGTTATCTCGTTACAATCATCACAGCACATTTCGAAAGTTGAACGAGATCTTCCCGTTAAATATCCTCGACAATCCCCTAATTGCCTTCAGCAGCGTATTTACAATTCAGCGCTCGTTAGAAGGAGATTCATCAGTCATTCAACAAACGACCAAGAAGGTAAAGTGTCCCAGTTCGGTCTCGAACGCACGAGTAATAATACGATTCTCCCGTCAGATCGTCGGTCGCGAAACGTCGGGTCGTTAAACGGTGAACGATCAGGCGTCCTCGATCAGCCTCTCGTGAAGTTTTAATCAAACGCGGTCGAGGGCTGCGAGAGATAGATATCCATCTGTCGCGGAAGGGAAGGCAAAAGGAAAGAGCAAAGCGGGGAAGCAACGGACTGGGCTCGCGTTCCGGGGTATTAGTTTCAGGGTTGTTCACCCTTCCGTTTCATTAACCGTTCGGCGATCGCCTCGCGGTCGGTTGCATCGACGGTTTCGCTCTTTCATTAGACGCCGCCTCGTGCAACCGATTTCTGCAACATCGATGCACGTCGTTATTTTTAGCCCCTTCGTCGGTGACTGGAGGGCGAGAACCGTTCCCCTCGCGATTCCCAGAGAATCCTCTTATGCAATCGCTCGGAGGAAAAATTGTACCGTGAACCGAGAAAACACGCGCTGTTCTTCGGGCCCGGTTGTTCCTGGAAAATAGGGCGAACTTTGGGGATATCGATTATGGGTTGAATTTTAGAGAATTCACCACTGAAGTGACCTGGCCACTTACAGAAAACCGCTGGCGGTCTATTGATTCTGAAATAGAGACGAAGTATTTTAACGGTCGATCATTTATTTATCGCGTCTGCTACGTTTAATAGAACTTTGTGGTTTCAGAGAGTATTAAGAGTTCTCCACTTCAAATGTCTAGAACGAAAGTTATGATTGAAGAAACCTGGGTCATTTTTGACTCATTAATTCCTGTCAATCTGAAAGAACCACTCCATTCCAGGGATACCCTATACAATGCCTAACAGTAACGATGATTTCTTGACCTTCCATCCCTCACAGACCCAATAGACACTTATCCCCCTAACAAGATTAAATTCACAGACACATTCGCAGGATCTTGGTAAGTCTGTGATCTGTATCGCGGAGGGGGAAATGCTCACCTCGTTGTTCAGAAATATAAAGTACATCTGGATGAAGATGAACGCCATCCTGGTGGCGGGCGTCAACGCCATCATGATGTTGTGGCACTTGGTGTTCTGTTCCAGCTCGAAGTACTGGCCGAACTCGAGGCCTGAGTATATCATCGAGCCGATCCCGAACGCCACGGCGCCCATTCTCAGGTAAAAGCTGCCGTAGTGTTGCGCCGGCCTTATGGCGGACACGTGCGGACAAGCGGCGTCGACCGCGTCGCTGTCGCCGCCGGCGCCGCTCGACGATCTCGACGAGTCCAGGTCGCACACGTCCTTTCGCTTCTCTTCTCATGCAAATTCATGGTAATCGGCCGGTTAAGATTAATGCGATTTTAACTGGGACGAGCCCGCTTCCCGTCGTCGGAAGCGGATTGAAAGCGAGCGAGCGAACGAGTCGTGATCCCGACGAACATAACCTCCCTTTGCCCTGCGCCAAGCTGATTTCCCGGTAATTCGTTCACCCTTTAAATCGCGTCGGCCTGCTCGCGACAAGGCCGAGAAGAATTTCAGATAATTCTATCGGATTAGTAATATAAGCCTAGTTTAGTTTGGAATGTATTCGGGGAAGCAATAATGAGTTAAATTTATTTTATTGTGTGTACCTGTATAGTCCTGTTTGTAAGTGCGTATGAGTCAAAGTTGGACATAATTGTATTTAATTATTATGTTTCGTGTCGCGCGGGTCAGGCACGCTGTAATTTAATTCGGGACATTTAATATTTTGTTCTACTAAGAACCGAAATCAATAGTAACTTGTAATTTTGTAACTGGTACCGGAACACAATTTGTATTGGATGGGTCACCAATGACCCACGCGGTTTGGAGAACAAGGCACATAAAACTGGCTTGTCATGGAATGTTGATAATTTATGGTGAAAAGTAACAATATTTAAGATTGTCATTCTGACCTTTAGACAGTTAAGATTAAATGATTGTTCACCAAGTGTCTGTACATTCAAGTATTATTATAATATAAAAATTGAAATTTCCACGTTTAAATGATGAAAAATCGCTCTTTATCTAGATAGTGAATTTGCCGATTTCTGGTAGAAGTGTTTTGAAATAACTTTCCTTTCTGTCAGAGAGTGTGTAATACTTGTAAATTGTAACATATGTAATTTATGGCTGGGTTAGCTAGTATTATGAACTGTTATCAGGTGACCAGATATAGTCTGTATCGACAAGTATTGTTCGTGAATGAGTGCTTAACCGTTTAGCTACGACGGAGTTGGCAAGAAAGGCTAGGACCTATTATTATTATTGAAATATTCTTTTGTTTCTTTCGTGTAATAATCAAATAAATGTAACTAGCATCGATGGTCATTTAACGTTTTTTAGTATAATGTATAAAATGTCGTTCTATCCTTCAATAATTACTTCACAAGAAGCTAGCCTATTGGCGATTAGTAATTGGAAGATTATAGGCAGTAAAACAGGAAATACCACAAAATATCGTTAAGCACAGAAGTAGAAAGGAATTCGTTTGCAAATACGGTGTTAATGGTTTACAATTAGAAGCATCTGTTGCATTCCTGTTAGCATTCTCTAGAAATATGTCTGTAAATAATACTGTACATAGCAGCAGCAGCGCTAGAATGAAATAGTAAAAGGAACGGAGAAGCTATTCTCAGAGATCGTAAAGTCCCGACGAAATTAGCATGCCGGAAGTGAGATTGTTCCGCGATTTAGGCTCGTCTGTGTGCAGAAATGAATTACCTACTCGTGAAACAACAAATGGCGGAGCTTCCTGAAACGTCAATTCGAACATTTCACTAAATTTGCCTAGTTCCCTGGACACGTCCAGTAGACGGTAACGAAATAATAACTGCTTAATCATTTTTGCAAGATTTAACATGTTAATCATTTGACTTCTTTAGTAGTTATACTTTTAAACATTTCAGGCCTTCCAAGAATAATGTTGTAGTTCAGAATGTTTTGAACAACCTTGGGCAAGGACTACAATAGGTGTCATTTTTTTATTGTTAAATTTTACGGAATCTGACTTGTTTAATAATTCTAGTTTTTAGCATTTTACTTCAGGCCTTCTAAGAATGAGGTTATATCTCCGATTGCTTTCCACAACCGTGATTAAGGACTACCTTGTCACCTTTGTGTGCAAGACATTACAAACCAAATCACCTTGACTTTTTTTATTAATTTTGGCGTTAAACATTGTTTTACAAGATTTGTAAGAACGACGTTGTAGTATGGAATGCCTTGTACAGCCTTGGGGTAGACTACCTCAGGTGTCACCTTTTCATGCAAAAATTTACGGACCAATCACACTGACTTCTTTCGTAATATTAATATTAAGCATTTTACTAGAAGTCTAAAAATAAGTTTATAGTATAGAATTCTTCTTCGACAATGTTTACTTTATCTGTCACCTATCCTACTGTAATTACAGCCCTTTCTTAATTACTGGACCGAAACTACTTATCTTAACTCCGCTAAGTTTACCACACTATTTCGTTACCATCTACTACAACAACAAGCAACAACAGATTTAAATCATCGATCGACTCACTTGACTTCGGCTTGCTGTCGCGCAACAGCGTGGCGTACGTGTACACGAGGAAGATCATGCTGCCGAAATATAGGTACAGGTAGAATCCCTCGTAGAACGACGGCGGGATGTAGGTGGATATTACTTCCGCCATTGGAAATGCGATTCCCATGACGACCAACAGCTTTCCGTACAGGGCGCTGAACGTCGTCGCTAGAGCGTCGCTGCAGAAAGAAACGGAAATTACGCTTGAACGAGATCCGTGTTTTGCTGCGACCTAAGAATTCGATCCTCCGATAGGGAAATTCCTCGATTTCCGTGTCTAGTACCTGTCGTGAGCAGTCTCCTCGAGGGTCTCACCGCGACTTCCGGTTTCAACGTTCATCTTCGACGAGATACTTCAGCGAAATGATCGATAAATTTGTCTCCTGGATATTATCGTTACTATTGATATTTTTCTCTTTTTCAAACAGATCGATATAATACCAGCGTTCTCGGTAACGAAAAAGGAACGCGTTCCCCCCAATTGAAACGTCGGTAAGCGTCCGTGCAGATACCATTGGCCGCAAATACATCCACCCCCGTAAGAATTGGCTCAATTACGGGTAATCGCGTGGTCGGCCGGTTGCGCGTGTGTTTGATTCATAAAGTACCGGTAATTGCGGTGCAGACGTCGGTCAGGATAATCCGGAGGATCACGTGAAATTTCTGTGGTGACCGGCACATATTCCCCCCTTCGCGTTAATTCGCACGGAATGGAAACGAGTCAAGATGGAATCTCGGCCGATCGTTAAGCGCGCAGATACGCGGGGTACGAAGTTCTGGGATTCAATTGTCGGCGATTGGATCGCTGAATGACCGTTTTTCCTTTCTTTTTGAAAATGAGGCAGTTCCGGTGTGCATTATTGGTCGGAAGTTTGGAATCATTTTGTCATTTATTGTTACAATTATTATATCTTGCAAGAGATTTTTCGCTGATTCGAAAATAATAGATTTGTTAATGAGTGTGGTTATTTATGTTTTTTTTTTTAATTTTGTCTGCTTAATGAAGAAATTCCTATGTCTTGTACACCACAGAATGATTTCACACTTGAACCGAGAGTATAGGTAAGGAAAATCTGTATAAAGTGGTTCATGGTTAGGTATTAATGGTTCCAATCAGGTTTCTGGTTCCGCGGGTTTCATGAAGTTTAGCGGGACTTAGTTTATCTGAATCTTTGATGAATTGGATCGCCGAGATAACTCAGACGGTCGTGTTATCGTAGTTCACTGGATATTAGTGCTTTTGGATGTTTGTAGCTGGACAGCTTACGGTTTGACCATCAATAATCATTAGACCGTGGATGTTTATGCATTTATAATATTCTCTACTCTGCGAAATGTATCAAAATAAAAATTTGAATTAAATTGAACATCATCCGTACGTTATCATTAATATATTAAAGCTTCTAGGACAGGAAAAACAATTCTGATTAATTTTCACTTTTATTATTTTTATATTAAAAGTATTAAAACACTTTAAATATATAAATATTACAAACACTATAAATATTACAATTTTTACAATCTGTGTGTGTGTAAATCTAAAACAAATCAGTGAAATTACAATTTAAAACAAACTTCAACATCCACGAATCCGGTACTCACTGGCTGATACCAGTTCGAATACCAGTAGCAGTTTTCAATTCATCGCGTACCCCTCGCTACAGGTCACGGACGTCATTAATTTAGGTCCACGTAACCCATTTCAAACGCCTGGTAGTCCAAACGGAAACACCTACAGCACCCAGATATCTCCCGGAACTATCAACGCACGATCAAATATATCAATTCGTTAAACGAAAGTAATGCTACTGATGAGCAACATCGGAGTAACCAGAAACCCAATTATTAGGTTGTTGCATAATAAATGTCTTTTAGCACGTTATGTTTCACCCATGTTCGAAACGTTATACGTGCGATCAAGAAGCTTCGAAACCGTTGACACATATGTGTCTATTCAAATGGATCTTTTATTCGATCAAATATCTTCTTCTCAAGATAAGTTATAATCATTTAGACTCTATAGTTAAAAAATGACCTTTTATTAAGCATTTTTTTCCTTTCAACAAATGAAAAGGCCACGCTGCAATTATCTTTTTTTAAAACGTCCAAAAAAGAATAGAAAAAAGATTATTCAGAAATGTTCCATACTATTTATAATAAATACATTTTATTTTGGGATGATCCACGACCCCACAGTGTCACAGCGTCAACCCTTCCACTACGAAATATCGTATATATGTATACGCCCTCTAAATTTTTCCTACTATACCACATTTACTGTTTTATTAATCTAACATAGAATTTAGATTTTATTTTATTCGTATATTTTATGCCAGCGACTGACATACGCATATAGCGTCGCATTCAAAGGGTTAAACTGTCATCGAGGTAAAGCGAGTGTCGAAAGAATAAGAACAAAAGAGAAATGCAGTAGACAGACTCACCATCCGAGTTTCTTCCACTTTCGGTCCTCGGCGACGTCGAGGAAGGTCGGAGCCGGGTAGCAGACCGCGGAAATCGGCTGCGAGGAGCATGGTAGAGCCAAGGCGAACTGGGGTGGCCGATGGGTGCGCGAGGGTGAGCTGCTGCTGTGTCTAGACAGCGTTTCCGGCGAAACGATTACCGCGGACGGCGAGGCCGGTGACGGTAACGCGGCCGGCAGTCCTGGCCAGCTGTACAGAGCCACCGTGTTTCCTCATTATTTCTATCCTGTCCTTGGCCGATCGATTCACCGGTATCGACGGCTCAATTACGGGAGGGATAATTACGGGACACGACGTCGCGCTGGGTACCTGAACCGGCGCTACGTCACTAAAGCGATACACTTTCTCTGTCACACTCCCCCCTCTCAAGGTTTATTATCGTCGCGACGTTAACGATTCCTCCGCTTCCGGTATTGGTCGCATTCCACGCGATTGCGTAACCGTGTTTAACGACCGCTTCGGAAGCTTCTCGCTGACACCGTATCTTTTTCTGGACGAAACGGATTGACGTCTTGTTTTCTTTCTTTTCTGATACTTTTTCAAGGTTTGTTTTCTTTTTTTCTGATACTTTCTCAAGGTTTGTTTTCGTTGTATTGTGGGGAACTAAGATGTACGAAGTTTCGTGGTACTGGGAAATACGGTAAAAGTTCGATTACTGTCCGAAATGTTACGAGGGAAGCCGGGCGCTTATGAAGTAGAAGAATCGATTCTATACATGTATAGAATCCGGTAATGAGACTGATAGGATGTATATTGGTGATACTCAAACAATTCGGAAATGCGGAAATGTTCGATTACTGTCCGAAATATTACGATTGAAGCCGGGCGCTTATGAAGTAGAGGAATCGATTCTATGTATAGAATTCGGTAATGAGACTGATAGGATATATATTGATGATACTCAAACAATTCGATACCTAATTACTCAGTGGGAAGTATCGCAATGCATGGAAATCTCGGATAATTGGTATTAACTTTGTATAATGATGGATTGTGTAGCGATACCACGAATAGAAATGAATTTTTTCAAGTACTTTATGGAAACAAGAATTCCTACATAATAGCTATAGAAGTGGTATCAATATTTTTGTCAATCACGATATGAGCAGTCCGAAAAAATAAATCGAAATTATAGAATAAAAGTGTTTCATTCAACGTTTAGTTTTCAAAAGAATCGAGTTTGAAGATTCATCTGAAACGCGTGTATTCGTGATGACAATAAGTAGAAACGGAATGCAATGAACAGACGCGGTAGCCAAGTCCTATTCCATTGCACGCGAATCCAGCAGATTTTCAAAGGCGATTTTCTCAAAAATTAAGTCTCAAATGAACAATTCTTATTCCATACTTTCGAACTATCTTTTCAGGTAGAATCACCACTTACTCGGTTGTACTACTTACATGAACAATCTGCAAAATCTCTACGAAACAAAATCGTTCCACGTGCATCGAATTTGACCAAGGCTGCTTGGCCAGATATTTCGCAAAGTGGCCCACTTTATAATTCGGTGCTCACTTATTTACCTCCACTTAGTTTCTATAAATTCCGTCGCTCTTAATACCCTCACTATTTAATTATTTCCCCGATACTCCAATAAAAACAGCTCTTGAATTAGACGCGACACGATTCAATTTGCGAATATTCCGACCACTCGAGCATCGCTAATTAAATCACCACGATTTAATCCAAGCCCCCGAGGATTGTCTGGAACCAGTCAGATTTAATCGTTCTTCCCATTTCCGTCGTCAATCGAATTCTTCCCGATTCCCACGCGGAATCCGCACGGTTTCCGAGGAAAACTTATCGGTAATTCCCGAGGCTTAAATCGCCTTCGACTTCGCGTCGCTCTACGCGAGCCTCGTAATTCGTTTAAGAGAGTTTCCGCTCGCCCGTCGGTGATATACGTTTAAAGGCCTGGTTACTCGGCAACTTTGGAACCGTGAAACTGGCTCGTCGTTGGCTCGCGAGCGGCGCCAATCGCGACTCGTTAAATTGCGGCAACAAACAGGTCCCCGGGGGAAAACTTTGTCGAGAGCAACGTCGAACTCGTCTCCATAGTGGTTCTGAACGGTGTTTTAGGAGTTCGAAACCGTAATTGAAATATTCGAATTAGTCTCCAAATGAATCTCACTGTCTTTATCGAACAAAATTTTATCTTTTTATTCTAAATTGAAGCAAGATTAATCACAATGTTTACCATTTTACGAAAACTTTTTTTACCAAACTGTCCACATGTATTTTCATATTGAAATGATTATCATTAATACCAATTAGATCGTTTTTAACATCTGTTCAATATATAAACAAATTATTGTGGATTTATCTTGTTTCGAAAGATTCTCATGCCAAATCTTAAAAAGGTTTCGCCTATCGTAACGATCGAATCTAAAAAAAAAAGGAAATGTTTTAGTACACTTGCAAAAAGGCAAGCACAGAAGTAGTTGGATTTTAATTACGTCGATGTAAGGTGTAAATTAAACAACAGTGAAGTCTGAATTGCGATGGTCTGTCGTTTAACAACTTGGCCCCTTTCCGCAAGGTGAGGGGTGAGGATCGTGAGTAATTAAAGGGCGTAACTTTTTTCATTTTCACGATTACCACCTCTTCCATCGTTCTCGGGATGAATGGAAACTTTCGGTACTCCTTCTATTTGGAAAAAGTGAAGTTTTAAATATAAAGTGTGTCACTAATGTCGTTGCAAGCCCCGTTTTGTGAATCGCGATCTCTTTTGCGGGGTTAATTGGACGGAAAAGACTTAGTAACTCGTTTGCTTCAAGGGAAGGAGCAATTAAGAAAAGCTTTAAACGGGTATATAGAAATAAACATTCCGCGTGTTCTTGAAACTCTCGTTAATGTAGATTTTTTTGTAATATTCAAAGTATTTTTGTAAAGACGGTAGTACAGTTTGCGTTTCAACGGTTCCTTTTGTTAACAATAATGAGACGTCTTTATTATGCTTTCTGCAGACATACAGGGTGTCCCACCTAAATGTTCCCACGAGATTTCAGAACGTCACTTGAACGTTACAGAAAATCGTGTTAGACAAAATTGAACTATATTTGAGTGTGCACAATTTTCTTTATTTGCATTTTTTCTGGGGACATGGATGTTACACTTGGTCTTTAAATAAAACTATAGCACTGTTAGAATAGATATTTTTCCTGAAAGTTCCGAAATTTCGTGGCGATTTTTACGTAGGATACCCTGTATATATTTTGGTGATAATAACCAGGAAAGTGCCTATATACATATATGGGCTAATGATACAAATGGGTTAAAAATATTTGGAATACAAGGTCTATGGGCAACACAGAATTTCATAATTTCACAGTTTCGTTTTCTTCCCCAATAAAATAGAATAAAAGCCTCATTTCTTGCTTAGAAAAAGACATCAATAGATCATTCATCAAAAAGTAGCTTCTACCCTTTCCTTTAAATTCAAATTATGATTCAATTAAAGCATCTTCTGTTTCCGAAAACAGGGATTCAGTAATAGCTTCTTCTGTTCCCCAAACTAGGGACTCAATTAAAATCTCTATTTCCGAAGACAGAGATTCAATTGAAAGCCGAGTTCCGAAATTGGAATCCAAGAACGTCTTATTCCGAAAACAGGTGGTCAATTCGAAAATGGCACGTTTCAATATGATCATCGACGTCCAATTTCCCGTCGTTGCACGTCCGTTCCGTGGATGTCGGAGCTGAAAGTTTCGGGGAATTCGAGGGGGAGGGAATGAGCACAGAACGGTCTCTCTCGCGCGCGTCTAATTTAAGGTCAACGCGGGTGCCGTAACGTTTGATACACTTGTCACATTGACACTGGCTGCAGGAAGAGACCCACTAACGGACGTTTTCGTGTGCGCGTCATTAAGCGACGACTTTCCAAACGGCAGCCGTTTATCTAATGATAATCCATCCCGATCCCTCTAATCTGACAGTCGGGCGAAATACGGCCGCCGGTTTCTTTCTCACACGTGGCAATACGAGAAATCATCGCGCGTCGTCCACCCTCTCTTTCTCACACCACGCGAAAGACACTTTTTGGAGTAACATTTCGAATATTGTTGCCACTTGGATATGTAGTCTTTAGCGGTATGTAAACATACCTCAAAGGATTGTTGAAAATTATTAAAATTGTTGATGCTACAACTGTTTGAAATATAGTTTCAACCTTTTCTTCAATAAGTCATAATTGTTGAAGTAACAAACTGATCAAAGTGAGATTTGTGATTTCTTATAGTGGAGACGTAAAGGTAATAATACTAATTATTTCAGTTAAAAAAAAATATTTTTTAACCATTTATTTTACAATTGTTTCAAAGAAATGCAATTTTGTAATGGCAGGAAACAATTCAGAAATTTGAAAAATTGAGGGTATAATTCTGTTTATCCTCTTTATGGACAAATTTGAAAAAAATATGAACATTTAAAGTTAACGCAATTAACACTGCGTCGAATGCTGTAGAATCAACAATTTTAAAAATTTTCAAAATTTCTTCGATATATCACTAAAGGCTACAACATATCCAATAGTCAACAAAATCCGAAATGTTGCTAGAAAAAGAATCCGATTTCGCGTGGAATGACCATTTTGTGGCTACGGTCCTCTTGGAGCAAACTACGCGTTACCATGGAATTTCCAACGACAACTTATCCCAGGATAAGGTTCCGCTCGGGCTGGTCGCGCGGAACAGAAACAGAGGAACGTAAATTATTTCACCGTCGCGATATTGCGTCGATGTATCGGGGCGAAATTTCAATTTACCGCGAAGTGGTTTTGCCCCCAGACCACCCTTCAGACGCTTCGAGGTGTCGGGGAGGGGGTTGGCAACCTTCGACGCCTTATATAAAGGAATTTTGTTAGATTTTCTGATGTGGAACTTTGGTTGGTGTACTGGCATTCGTGGCCACGTTGAACGGAAACAGATTTTACTTTCCAATAAATTGGAAATGCTCTCGTACCTGATCAATTTTCAAATTAGACTCATGGAGAAATATAACCTCAGGCAAAATGAAATTGATTTCACAGGATGCTTTAAGAAAATATACGTATCAAGATTGTATATATTATATGGAGAGTTTGTACATGTATTGGGTTGAATGGAAAGATTCTGCGTTCATTGTTGGTGTTATACAGGGTGTTAATAAAAATGTGGGACACTTTCCCAGAGTGAATTCTACATGGCAAACTAATTGTAAGACGAGACTTCAGAATGACGAAATTGCGTTCGAGACTTCGTTTTCGAGTTATTAATTGCTGAAAATATGGGCAAAATATGTTTAAAATACATATAGCGCGTTTATCTACCAATAATACAATGGAAAATCAAACAGCAATTTCTTCTGAACGTAATTTCATTAATTCATAAAGTTTTGAAAACACCCCTGAATTCGATCCAATAAAGTCGTTTAATCTGTACACAATAATTACGAAATAAACATTTCATAAATCTCCCAATCTACAGAAACCAATTGTCAGACCCAGTATCAAGGAAAACGTCCTTCTCCATTTTACCCCGCATCTAAGCCCTCGACTTAATATCTACGCGTTACGATCCTCCCAGAAAAACTGATTCCCCGTCGAGCACCCCCAAAGCCAGTCATCATACGCATCAAGAAAATCCGCGTAAAAATACCCATATCGCGATCATCCATTAAAATCCATCGAAGCGCGAAGCCTGCTGATCCACCTGTTCTAAATATACACCAGAAATCGTTGGATGCTTGTTCCGCGCGTTTAAGAAGGTAAACGAGTTGCCGTACGCAAAAAAAAAGCGACCTACCCCTACGGTACAGATAGTAGGCAGTGAGAGGGACCGTGAATAAGTTTGGTCCTTTCGACGAGAACAGGAGGGTTCGCTGGAGTCCACGCGCGCACGTGGATCGTGAAACAGAAACGAGAGAAAGGGACCGATGATCGTCCCTCCAGTGGGGTAAGACCAGGGGTGGTTCAAGGGTGGAGAGGGGTTGGAATACGGCGAGGGGACCTGGGTCGCCTGGCTTCGAGCTTTTTGAAATAATCACGTAGTGTTGGAGAAGCAGAGGAGCCCCGGTAGAGAGGGTGTTGCTGGACGAAAGAGGGACGCGAGAGGGCACTGGAGGGGTTGATTCAGTGGCTGAGTGCCGTTCCCCCCTCTCATTGTGGGACGAGTGTATCCCTGTGGCTCAAGGACTACCCGGACCTGACTCACCCTTGTTTCCCTCGGCTACACGCCACTACGCCACCCCCTGCGGGGGTATCCCTCAGGAATCCGCTACGGTATCTACGCGTTCTCTTCTTACGCGACACTCGAACTCAGAGAAAGACACAGGGAGAGGCAGAGGGAGTTCCCTTTTAATCGTTCCTCCGCCGAAACCCCCACCACCCCGCGTAAATACTCGCTAAACGTTTTTTCCTCTTTTTCCTCCTGTTTCCCGGCGGAAGGGACGGCGAGCGTTTTCGTTTCCCCGATTATTGCAGCCGACGTCGTCCAATCCCGTCCCTATGGGAGATTACGCTTTCAACGTTTCGCCACCGGCTGAGAGCTGCTTTGCCTGTCCTCCGAGGGACCGCCTCGTGACCGCGAATTTTTTAACGCGCACCTTCTTCTGTAATTATCAAACGATCGCGAGGAATATTGAAAACGGGACTCCTGATCTCTGGACTGGGGACGTATACTGGGGACAATGGAACGTTTTTGGAAGTTTTGCGGTCGGTGGAAATGTATGTACCGACAAGAATTTGGGGACAAAAGAATTTTTATGAATATTGTGTGTACTATTTGTGCTTATGCATCATTAATAGATTGCGGATGTTTATGCATTTATAGCAAATTTTAACACACGAAACACTTTGAAATCATCTCATCGACGAGTTACTGTAACAAGACATCTCGTAGAGGAAGTAAATTTCTATTCCATTTTAATATTTATGAATGTCTAAAATTGTAAATTTACATAAACACCCACAATCTAGTGATTAATAAAGGTCAACGTAAAGAAAAATTCATCTATGTTCAGGTATTTCTTGCCGAATGTTTAGAAGATGCACTCGAGGATATTATTGATTCACGTGGGTAGGGGAGAATGGAGTAATGGCGGTCAATGGGTTATAACGATCAGTGTTATTATTACAAAACGAAATGCCTAAAGCCTTCAATTGTTGATGTTTACCTAAAAGCCTAGTTAAGTTATGGCTATGCATTCGAGAATAACAACAATTTTTTTCTTTTTACGTGTCACTGATGTTATACTTTGCGTGTATAACGCAGTTTAATTTAATTTTAACATAATTGATGGAGTAATTAATTAGTTACACGTAGTAATTAATAGGGTCGTTTAGAATCCAGTGGATGAGGTGCTAGAATGTGATTGTTTACAACGTGACTTCTATGATCCATCAGTATGGACAATAGCTGTCAAAAGCATTCTCTGTTTTTTTGCAAATTATACCCAAGAAATGAATTCTAAAAAGATTGTTTTGTTATTCAATTACTAGTTTGCGTTTGTAAACAGTAACTATTATTACAATTATTGTTAAAGTTACCGCCATTACTCCATTTCACCCTACCCCACTTTGATATGCAACTTCCACACGATAGAACCACCTGCTTGACAAAATAAAGACAGTATAAATCAACATTTTTCAAAGTCCTAATTTCTCTGTTCTCGTGGATTCATGGACCTTGACGACTTCATTTCGTTAAACACTCTACTACAAATATTTATGTTTATCTTTGGCTCAACAGACATTTAAACTGTACAAGGTGATAAAAAAGGGGTCCCTTTAGACTTTACTAAACTCTCTTTTAACTCTATACCTTCTTTCTAGCTGCCTAAAAAAGGGTCTCTTGTAGTCTCTTTAGAAGGTCCTAAAAACTTCAGGGGCTTTCAGTACTCGCCGAGAGGAGTAAAAAATGTAAACATACAAACGTTTCGTATTCACGTTTGATACAGATGTTCCACGTGTCTTCCTTCCATGTCAATACAAAACCCACATCTTCATATCACAGATCGAAGTACGTATTTTCAAATATATTCCCTTCGTATCTATCATTACCTGCTGCCATACACCCATAAAAAAATACCTCTAAACTAATTTCTTTATTTCATTCAATATATCGCGAAGACACTCACAATATCGAAAATGCTCGTAAACATAAAACTTAACCCCTTTACAGTCATATGTCTACTCACAGCCACCAGAATACCCACATCTGTGATAAATCCAAAAAGGGTTAATTTTCTCCCCAAAACATTCATTCCAGAACCTACGTCGATTAAACATTTCCAACTCCTCTCGGTAAGCACTACAAGTCCCTACACTAATCAACCCCCTTTCATCACCCTGTACACAAATAACACTACCATCAAACTAATACCAGAACTCAACGTCACCTAGAACAAAATCATAACGAAACTCTCCCACCTAAAATTCCCACGCAACCAAAAACAAAATCCGCATTCCGAAGCCGATCAACCCCCGATAAATAACCTCTCTCTCTCCGAATTCTACTCGAAGAAAGAATTCCGTCATCCCCTACCCCAATTCCAAACCGAACGCGAGCCTCGAAATTTCAAGAACGCGCTCGTACGTACGGCGGCATCGATCGAAATTCCGTTCAGGAAGAGCACACTCCGTCGGCACACAGGGACGTGCTAGACGTCCGATGGTGGTCGTGGCGTCGGAAATCGCAGAGGGGCAAGAGCGTATGCGTCTGCGTGGGGTGCACGATTTCAGGATTCCACCCTCCCAACCCTTTAGGAGGGCGACACTCCGGATCGATCCGCGGTCGACGGTACAACGGGGATCGCGGTACCTTAGGGAGGTCTCCTTGATGAGCATATCCGTGACCTTGGCTGGCGGGGGTTCCCACGGCGAGATTTCGTCGACTGGTCGAACGGGAACCGGGTTGAATGGCACAAAATCACGGCCCTGCGTGGCTCGTGGTCGCGACACTCACGGACCCCGCATTACAAACTGAGGCCCAGCTATCTCGCGACACTCACGCTCGTACATCTTCTTCACCTCCCCCTCCCATCGCAGTGGCGTAACGCTCGCGGAAGGACCACGATTTTACGATCAAACAATTCGACCCAGTTGGGGATGGACGGAGTTGTCGACGAACAGTTCACGATAGCTATCACGATAGATTCGTGTTAACTATTGTTAACTTAAATCTAGGAGTGTAGTTACGGACCAGTCAGTTTGGGTAAATATTTGCGAGCAGTTGTCACCCTATGATTTTGATGATTTTTTAATATTTTGTTAAGGTCATCACCCTGAGTAGGGTTGTTGAAGGTCTTACTTGGTGATCGTTGTTTATGAAAAAGGTGGGCGTTAGTAAGAAAAGTGGTAATTATACAGGTGAGGGATGTTATTCTAAGACAACGTTTTTGTATAGGTGTAACTCCCGCTCGGCTTTATTTCCGAGATACTCGGTAAAATAATATTTGATACTATGTATGATATTTTATTATTTATAACATGTAACTACGGTATTGGTCTGAGGTATTGTACAGTACATCAGATGAGAATATCGTTTCAATAATTATTTTGCTGAATTTCTTTATGAAAAGACATGTGTTTTTGATGAAAGGTTAGATGCTTTTTTCAAAATAATGGCAGACAACAGAAAATGTAAATGAATGAATAAAACTAAATCAATAGTAAGTAGTATAATTCAAACTTAGTTAACTTTAACTTTACCTTTAATTTTTTATGGATTACTAGCTTTAATAATTCTAGAATATAAGAGTTGTTGTATGGGTTGGTCATTTAGGGTTATAGGAACCATATTGTATTTAATTAAAACTTGTCATATTCAGTCTTGATAAGTTTCTGCATACCTTGGCTCAATTGAACCACCGGAGAAGCCAGCATTGTCGACGAACAATACCATTCTACATAGTCAAATAGACCGATGCCTCTAGAACTATCTATACATTACACCAAGAAGCCTGAACTTGGCACGGTTCTGGAATTTTCTAGCTTCTAAACCGCCCTCTATGTAGTACAGTACGCAGCTCTTTTATCATTCCGGTATCTCTATCCACGATATACATCCACCTCTTCACCCGACCCCGATAAAGGGATAAGGATCTAAGGCAGACCTTTCATGATAGAATTCTCACATCGTAAGAAAGAAGGGAAAATACACAGGCCTTACCCCTTTCCCTCGGTCCCCATAGAGGAGTTTGTGCTTTAAAGGACTCTTCGGGGGAGTCGGAACGCAGGTCTACGCTGATCAAATCTGCATGTAAATCGACGGAATAGGACCTGTCTCCCTGCTGGTGTGTCCAGAACGAAGAAGAGGATGCGTTTGGCCAGGGGTTCCAATGAAATGGGAATGTTCAGGGAGAAGGAGAGACAGACACACATGGTGAAGGAGAGAGGAGGAGGAAGAGGGTCTCTAGATAAGGCACGGTCGGAAGCGGGAGAGACGAGGCGAGCGACCGAAGGTCGTCCGTTGACCATAACGAAGTGACAGGTCAATATTAAACTTCGGTCCCGTTCGGCCTGTTCGTGGCGTTCACGAAATTCACCGTTCGATATCCGCCGGAAGTAATCGAGTTCGACCGGGGGAATGGCTCCGGTAGAGTCCCCGTGGATCCAGCCGCGGGAAGATCGATGGGAATTGATGTTCGGGGGACGATTAATCGGACGATTCGTCGCGGTGGTGGCGTGTCGCGGGTGAACGTGGAACGAGGAAATAACCGGTTCACGCGCAGGTTTGGTGGGATGGAGCGGATTTGTCGACTAATCAACCGGGGATCGCGTATTGGCGGGACTTCAGGAGATCGGAGAATCAATTTGTACGCGGACGCGATAAATATCCCTCGGCGTGTCTCGCGGCGACTGTGCCAATTTCGTCGATCCAGAGTGTCGCCAGTTGTGTTCAAAAATCGAAAATTTTTATTTTGAGATTTTCTATCTTGTTTACGTGGAATTGGAAGTCAACGTTTCTCGGGTCTAACAAGGGAAGGACTCTAACTGTCTGACTTTGGTTTTGTAAGGTGATTGTGTACGGACCCCTGATAATATGTGAGCAGTTTATTTGCCAAAGTGATTAAGGTAGCTTCCACGTTTGGTGTCGTATCTAGCTGGGGCTACATATTTTTATCTATTTCACCAATTTAATTTGAATATTTTAAACGACTTCAAAATACTTAACAAATTTTTGTATTCATTTTTAAGAACAATTGGAGTGACGTTGACGCTCATAGGAGTTACGCGTGGAAGTTACTACCAAACGCATTGAAACCTAAGTTTGCATACTTTGATCCTAATTTTTAATTTTATTTGATTGATATTTTTTTTCCGTGTCATCATAATCTCCGTAAAAAAAATCTATAACTATCTAATTTTGTATGAAAATGTCATTCTTTGTAACTAAATATAAAGTGATTGTGTGAGAAAGAAATATTTATAACACTCTTTTTTGAATAATTTCATCGTTGACCTTACGACTTTTGGTAGCAATCGACAAATTTTACCTTCTCAAGTTGTATCTTAATACACTTCAGGTTCAATTAATTTTCGAGCGACCAGTATGGCATAATTGGCAACCCTACGGGACTCGTAAGTTTCCGTGTGTCCACAGTGGTTCTAAAGCGTCGTAAATAAACGTCAGCGTTTCCACAGCCGTGTAAATAAATGTTAGCCATTCCCAGGGTTGTTCCTCACTCGACGAAACGAGATTTCACGCGGCATCCCCATAGTCGTGGGTCCAAGGGGTGAGGGGAAACTGTCTGCGCAACGGTGATTCGGGATGCTCGAACCAGAGTGGAAATTGATGGAGCAAAGTGGAGACGGTTGCGAAACGATTTTTCACGATCAAGTTCAATCGTCGCCGGTGTACAAACCACCGCCGGCTCGCAGCTGGATATGGGTGGCCGAGGGATGCACGTTAATCGTGGACAGTGACTAATGTCCCGTGGCTGTGAATAGTGGCGGTGGTCATCCGAATGAAGAGACCGAGGAGGAACGTGGGCCGTTTAGGAAGGGTAGGGAGGGTGGGGAAGGCCGTAATTTACATCGTGACGTTACGTACCGAAGTACAAAGCGAGGAATAATTGACGGGAACGTAGAAGAGCCGTCTCCCTGCCCCAGTCGAATCCAGACCGAGCGAACAAACAGAAAAAAAATCGATATTCGGACTAGTCTGTCGTGGATGCTCCTACTACGCGCTTGCAGTCCTATGACGCCTTTCATTGAGAAACTGGTAGCGACGAAGTCGATCGCGATTGGCTGGAACCAAAATCTATACCTCCCTGGGCAAGCAAATAGGCAGATCTAGGGGACAATGTATATGCTCAGATTAATTGATTCGCTTTGCGTTCACGCAAATACAGGAACGGCGCCTTGATTGGTGATGATTACGTGTTGATAGTCGCTTATCGAATGAGAAATGGATTTGAAGGTTATATAAATTATTTATTTAATATTAGCGTATTCGGTATGTCTTGATCAAATTTTCAATTATTTCTGGTTTTAGTCTGTTGGCGACAAAGGGTTAACTGCTTCTGAACTTTTCAAGGATAATGCAAATATCGTGTACTTCGAACCTTGATAAAATTTTCAATTATTTCTGGGTCTAGTCTATTCTAGGTCCGGACGTTAAAGGGTTAACAACTTCCAAACTTTTGAAGGGTAATGCAAATATCGTGTACTTCGAATACCGCGGTTGCTCGCAATATTTCCATATCAACCTACCTACGATAATTTATTAACCCGCTAACTGCATTTATCTACTACTGTAGACGTCTACTTTATCACTTTAGTGAAAATTTCTCGAAACTCCTTAAATTAACATCCGAACATTAGAAAAACGGTCTTAATGTAACAACTACTTCGTTACTTATCGTGAGCAAACACATTAGTTATAAAAAAAAATATTTTAAAAACTGTTTTAAATAGTCTTGAAATGTCTATTGGTTTTTGATTTTGTGAACAGCAATTTCTACAAAATACCACAATGATGCAGTGAACGGGTTAAAAAACAATTGAACAAAACCGAAGATATAATTCAGGCTTCCCGGCCCGATGCGATCGCGCGTCATCGTGTTAGCACCTCCGTCGACTGACGCGACGACACAGTCGTCGCCATGCCTCGCGACTTCTCGCGACGCAATTACGCGTCATCTCGACACACCGAGCAGGAAAGATTTTTTCTTCCCCCTGGCTGCCGCATTCTGTTCGCCCCTGGCGCCGTGGGTTTATTTTGTAATTCACCTACTTAACCACCGTCTGCCCCTATTTTTTCTTTTTTTGCTTCACATTCGAGTCTTGTCTGAACGAGACGCATGGGGATTCGTTAACGGCCGGGAATATTTCTACCCAAGAAACGTGGGGCGGAAGAAGTGTGGTGCACGCCGAGACTGGCATTAAACCGTTCCTGGGTTCAACCTCGACTCCTTCGTTACGATCTTTGGGCATTAAAACGGTTTTAACGGCGGTTCTTTCAGTCAGGTGAAAACTGAAGACGTTGCTTGCACGTCGAAACGATGAATAATTTTGTGAGTACAGTAGGGCTCACATGTGGGGCAGCCTTTCAATAAACGAAGTTGGTTCGTTCGTGCATGAAGACGCTGTCAAGTTTACTTTTTAAAAAATATACTCGTGTACACGTGAAAAAATTACATCGTTGTGATAAATGATATTTAGAGTGGAAGAATCATCCTCGAGTAACGTAATCTTCTGAGTATAGTAAGTCAGAAGGCATTGAAAAGTTATATTTATTTATGCCTTTTCTAATTGTTTTATTCATATATGTAACCCAAGAAAATCGAACAGTCATAAAATTTTAACAGGAACGTTGTTTGCATACACTTTCAGTGGTACTTATAACAGACTCTGACGCCATTTTTCAAACCTATACTGTATTTTCCTGGCGA